AATAGTGTGTTATATTTGAGCAAGTTACTTAACCTGCTACCCTTATCTGTAAAATGAGGATCATACCCACCTCTTGGGGTGCTGTCAGGACTCAGTAAGATGACAGAGAGACTACTCAGCACACAGGAAATGCTAAATGGTTGCTGGGTCCTGGACATGACTGTGCCATGCTGATCACACAATGGGGACCCAGCTTCTAGTTCATGGGTTACCTCAAGCTTTTTTTTTTTTTTCCTGGTAGTAAATGAGAGAACTCACACTACCATGAAGTTCTGGGAATTTTGTGGTTTGAAATTTGTGGTTCTCCCCCCAAAACACAAGTTAGCACCAATCTCCTCAGAGGCCCATGGACCATGGAAAAGATTATTTCATGCTGCTGCCAGCCCCTTCTGGCCTTGGGCAGACATTGGATCATTGAGGATTAGAGTCAAAAAGGAGCAGAAATCATAGCCTTCAGAAGTGATTTAGAAACTCCTGGGGGCACACAAGGGGCTCCCCAGTATATGTGGTCCCAGGTGCCTCCTCCCCACTTGTCAGAGGAAACTCCAACTGTTACCTGTTTTATATACTGTCCATCTAAGTAAGATTTTCTTTAACTAAAGGACACAGCTAAAAAACAGAATAAAAAGACCCTTTGAACATCACGGATCTGGCCCAACTCCTGCATTTTAGAGTTGATGAAATTTAGAACCAGGAGATGGTTTTATGGTCCAACATCACCTAGCCGGTTTGTGGCAGGGCCAGGAGGACAGGGAGGTCAGCGCCCAGTCCCGTGCAGTTTCACTCTGGCAGGCTGCCTCTTGTAGAAAGATGGGGCTGACTTCTCAGATGTTGTAGGGTCAAGATTTCCACCTTACAAATCAGATGTACAAAAACAGTAGCTTATTTGTCTTCTAAAACCAATTTAATCTTGCTCTGAGGCTCTTGTTCCTACAGATGGCAGGCATAAGAGGCTAAATAGCCTCTTCCAGGGTGAAAAAATAAAAGGAGGGGGACTGAACTCACTCAGTTCAACACTGAAATTTCCTATGGGAACCAATTCCCTACCTTCTGAGGCTCTTCCTCCTCCTCCCTTCCTCCCAAGATGGCGTCCGGATGACGGAGACGTTTATGGACCCTCATGGAGCAGGAGGAGGGATGTGTAACTCACAGGTTGTCTTTCTCTGCCGGCTCCTACTGCTCCACAGCTGAGGTACGACTCCTCTCAGTCTTTGGGCATCAGCCTCTATCCTCCCTCCATGTGCTGTGTAAGTGTTTGCAGCTGGTGTAATTTGTGGTCTGCTCTCTCCTCATGGGCAATCTATGGTGATGGCTCCCAGGGAGCCAGGCCATCTCCTCCTGGGAAAATTCTAACCAGGGTACCAGTGCCATGCGAAGGCCATCTTCAGAGAAGAACTCACGGCCGTTCAGGGAAGTCTCTCTTCATCAGGCACCTCAACAACTAAAATTAACTCAAGTTTTGAATACATTCTTCCCTGAACGTTTTTTTTTTTTAACTAAAAAATTAAAAGCAGACACACACTTTAAAACATAGGTCTCTTGTTAAAGACAGCAGAATAAAAACACGTATGCCGTTCCTCTTCCTAAAAATCCAATGAAAACAATAAATGGAACAAAGAAAGAAGGAAATATCTCCCTATCATGAATGAAGCAAGGAAACAGCTACAATCCCAAACCACAAACTATGAAGAATACCGGCCAAATATTGTGGGCACGGATAGAGACGAGGGAGGCCCTTAATGCTGACAAATGCCTCCTTGGATCTCAAACAGGATCTATATTTCTCTAAAATTAAGTGAGGCAGCCCTAAAAAGTCAAGCCAATGATCCTTTGCTTAGAGAGGGGAAGTTGCAGGATATGAATGGGACATGCGAGAAATGGGGACCATTTTGGATTTTTCACTTGGCATTTTTCTGAACTTTTTGAAAAAAAAATATGAGTACTTTTTGCCAAAACAATAGCCATTCTAGCAATCAGTAAAATCTAAAAACAAAACGAAACAGAAAAAAACACAGTAACTGACTTTATTAACTGTGTGTCAAAGGGTTAAAGGATAATTAACAGCTGCATCAGAATTCTTCTTAAGGAGAGGCAGTCTTCATTTAATATCTTAACGGGTCACTCGGTGTGAAGAAAACCAGATCATATCTGGAGTCTAGAGGAAGAGGGGGAAATAGAGGGAAGGCCAAAATGTTCTCATTCATGTATGTGTACAATTAGTAGGGTCTGACTGAGATAATTACTCCTGAGTAGTAAGAGGGAAGAGAATGAGCGAGGACCCAGGAAACAATGGGCATGAGGGTGGCAGGAGTAATGGAACCTGAGTTAGCAGAAATGGCCAAGAGTCTTTCCAGCTTGGAGAATTCTGTGGTTCTTAAGTTACGCCTTACGTTGATATGAAGATCTCCATGGCTTCCCTCTGCCTCCCGCTACACCACAAAGGTCTTGGTTTTTATTTATTTGATTGATTGATTGATTGGTTGATTGATGATTGATTTGGTTGGTTGTTTGGTAGGTTGAGTAGAAATGAAGAGAACCAAAGGAATGAGACAGCACTCTGGAGATGATCAGCAGAAGTATAAGCTCTGAATCAGAGCTAATTAGGAAAGCCACAAGCTCCTCCCACCCCCAGCCCCGGCCCATCCACTGCCTATTCCAAACTCCTTTCCCCCACCTGCAAAGGAGCTTAAGCCACTTTCATTTGTTCCTCGTTTCTCCTCTAGATGAACTATGTTGTGGGCTTGGGGTTGGGAAAGAGAAGGGTGGGGCCATTTTGATAGAGTCCAAGTAGGAAGTCGTGATAAGGAGCAGTGCAGAGGGGGCACGCAGAGCAGAGAGATCAACATGGGATCGACACCTGTCCACAGGCAACCATTCACCGTCTCGAATGGCCACCTACATACTATCGACACACCCACCATAATTTTTTCTAGACACTTCCCTTCTCCCAGTGCACCAACCACATGTTAAAAAAAAAAAATCCAACAGATGAGGAAGAGGATAACAATGATTCTTACTGGAGACTCTTCAAGACCTCAGTCCTTGCTAAAATAGCAGAATAATATTTTGAATCCAGCAAAGATTCCTTCTCACTCTAGGGTCTTTTTTTCCTTCTGAAGGACCTTCTCTTGTAAATAGCAAGGGCTTCTAATAATACTCACTTTTTAAAAAACTGTTATTTTCCAAAAGCCCAGATCTCAAAGACAAATCATCTCCCAACACACTCGTTATACAGCAGTGGAGAGGAAACAGGATAACCAAGATTTATAAAGCTTCCAGTTTAAAAAATAGAAGAATAAGAAACACCCAGCGGTCATTAAGCAACAGCAAATAACAAAGCCCGCCGAACAGAGATAGCAATGACTCCCAGCCCAGACACTTCCTTGGTCAGTGACTCTAGAAGCTGCTCTGTGGGGTCACCTCTTTGTAAATTATCCCAGATGAGTTCATCCTGGGTGGGTGGGTGAGAAAGAACATGGCTTTCTTGGGGGATACACAGATTGCATAGGCATCTTCATGCTGGTGTGGCTGTAAAGGCCTGGGATCTGTTTTCAGGATAAAATCATAGGTGTTGGCCAGGCCGACTTGAGGTGTCTTTGACAATGTGGTTTCCTAAAAATCTTAGTTGGCTTCTGTTCTCCTTGCTTCCTGTCAATGGCAAGTACATGTAGACAATGGCCAAAGATCCTGTGTGAACAGTCTTTAAACCTGAAGATTTCCTCCTTTTCCTTCTGGCGTCAGACACCGTCCTTTCCTAGCTCTTCTTCAGCGGCCACTCCTTTGAGACAATTTGAAATCATAGCTTCTTATGGTGAAACACCCCCTGAACTCAAAATTTTCCGATGGGTCCGAACAAGGTATCTTACAGAGGACTGTTAATTAATGGGAAAAAGGCACAGTGTCTTACTAGCTAAGGTGACTACTTTGAAGTCATTGCTTTAACTGCTTCTTTGTGGGATAAAGAAGCAGGTGTCTTTGTCAGCCTTTCAAAGCTCCACATCAGGGGGCTTCTCTGCATCTTAGGAAGTGGCCACAGTCAAGAGCCCCTCCTCTAGTAATGCAGTACTGGCCAGCCTTAGTACTTGGTGCATAACAAAAGGCAACTTGCCTCCGCCCAGCGGCAGCCCCCAACCCCAAGCCCAATTCCACACATCAGATTCTGATAGAGCCTCGATTCACCCTACTTTCAGAGACCAATTTTTTATTCATTTCTTTTCTTCTTCCTTTTCTTTTCTTCTTCTGCTTCTTTTTTTCTATTGCAAACTAGAATCCGTTCATGCTGGTGGAAGCAGCATTTACTGAGTTACTAGTAGCGCAGCGGCTCAGTGGGAGGTCTGGAGGAAAAGGCGCGCAAGGCTAGCTCCTAGGAATCCAGCCCAGAACCGCACACAGAAGTGACCTGCTGAGATGCTGCTGCCACCTCCGCTCCTTGTCGCCACTCTCACCTGCAACATGGACGTGCAGCGCTCAGAACTCCATCTGTGTACTCGCGTTGCTGCCTTCCAAACCAGAGTTTCATGTGGGTATGCTTGAGTGCTGGATCTTAGGTCACATGTCTGCTCCCTAGTAGAGAGATGCTGGGAAGTTCTTCCCTAGGAAAGTAGGACTAACAATGTGGGAAACTGAAAATGTAGAGCAGGGGTTTAGCAGAATGACAGGTATCTGCTAAAGAAAGAGGATTTTGTTCTAATGAGTAATTTTCTTCTAAAAGCTCTTAAAAGATCCAGACCTTAGAGAAGCTGAATAGTAGAGAAAGTGAGGGAGAAGCAGGAGGCTGAAACGTGCTTTGGTTGAAGATGTGTAGAAGATAGACCTCTAGGGTCCCTCATCCACACCCGTACGGCCAGGCATTCATACTTCATCGTGTCCCCTCCTCCCTCCCTTCCCCTTAGAAGGCTAGACGTTTCTTCTCTGTTGAAGTTCCAGGATCAGGATACCAGGTCTAGAGGAGGGCAGGGCCAAAGAGCTGGGCTGAAAACAAGAGATTAAGTTAAATTCTGCTTGCTAAATGTGGGAGTAACCTACTTTCAAAACCCTGAGTGATGCTCTCAGCTATCTCTAACTATATTCCAGCAGCGGGCATTCTGGGAAACTCCACTCCAATCCCAGGCATCTTTGCTGTGGGCTTGGAAAGGAGAATGGAGGGGATGTAATGATCATCTGGCTCCCTGCTCAGAACACGTCAGTACAGTGTTCTCATTCACTTCTCTTCTCCCCAGAATCTAGTTTTTAACGGCCCTACTATTTCATTCCTTAGCATCCTATGAGGCTCCTAAGGGTGTCCTGGACAAGTCGGGGGGAAAGGTGAGCCTTATTCATTTCTAGTTTAAAAATAAGTGGATGGGGGAGTTTCAAGATGGCGGGATAGAAGGATGTGGAGCTCACCTCCCCCCACAAAAACATCAAAAATACATCTACATGTGGAACAATCTCACAGAAAACCTGTTGAACTGTGGCAGGAGCTCTTATACTAGAAAAGCTATAAGAAAAATCTCCACATAATCAGGAAGGACAAAAGGAAAAAAAAAAGACATGAGTGAAAAGGTATAAGTTATATTTATAGTTTTGTTTCCCCCACAGTGAATAGACATCACAGAAAAGACACAGCTTGATGATCAAGCACAATATCTAACAGCTAAAACAATCACATTCTCACTCCTAACTACAATTTAGGATTTCCTGGCGGAGAAAAGATGGCTCTCCCAGGTTCCAGCGCCTGGGAGCCTGACGCCACATGCCATCTGCTGGTGCGGAGCTGTATCGCTCGGCAGTAACTCCAGAGGCCAGGAGGGAACAAAGGGAACTTGCATCCCTTTCACGGGGTGGGGGCAGGGGCGCTCCCGCAGGCCCTCTGCGGCAGGTTTTCAATGTGAACAAGCCCAGACCACGAACTTAAGAGGAATGAGGAAAATAAGGACTATCCGATTTTGGCATGTATCTCAAAATTGTCATCATTCACTTAAGGCTCATAACCACAAAGACATTCCTGCTTATTTTCTCAGGTGTTGTGAAGCTTTGACGTGGGCAGAAAATATCACTTCTAGAAGCACAAATTAGCCTGATTCAGATTGCCCTGATTTTTTACACCAACCCTGCTCTCAAAGAACATGGCATCTTCTTCGGGAAGCAGGTCTTGGATTCTATGCCAGCCCGAGTGTTGAAAGATCATGTCCCACGCGATGATCTTCCCTGGGTTTCAAACTTTGTTCACTACCGGGAGGTTTTCAAGGGCGGCCAGAGAGCAGATAATGCAACTCACACCTTTTTCCATAGAAAATATCACTAAATAGTCTAAATTAATGGATGCAAATTCTACATTCCCCTCCCCATCCCTTGTGTTAAATTGCCTTTGATCAAAGTTAGATTAGTTGCGCAAGACGAGTCTGGCCCAGTCTCCATGGTTTGCCTAGTGTGGAAGCCCCTAGAAAGGCCTTGTAGGGCAACATGTAAGGTTTACTCTCAGGGTGTATGCCCCACTTTTGTAAATCAAAACACAAGCAAACATACGAAAGCTTCCCTCACAGGGCACATATTCATATTTGAGCCAACAAACACATTGATCCTTACCTACTGAAAATGTACTTAAGTCTGACCACTGTTTGCAAATTATAGCACTGAATATTCTATAGATGCCAAAAAAGAAAAAAACAAAACCAAAGATAGTGTTTTCATACAGCCTATGCTGTGGCCAAGCTACATGCAAAGGCTTAGAATTCCAGAAGCCACGCCCATCAGCCTAGAAGTGGAGGAAATCTGTTTCCTGCTCAGTCGGGTCACTTTGATAGCACATGTGTTCTGTGGTATAAAACTAAAATATCCAATGGACTCTTTTCCTTGCATTTTGCACAGCGACTACAATGAGCTATTAATCAATGAAGCAGCTGGCATGGCCCCTGCCCTGACTGTTCCCTGAAAGGCCAGGCCGGTCTAGGGAACACCACCAGAAGGTTTGGAGTTGGCGGAAAGGATGGTGGGAGGCACGTGGTAGCAGGTGGGTATCTTCCAATCCTCCACAAATTATCAACGAAAACTTCAACTGGCCAGCAGCTTTGTTCCACCCTGAATAGAAGGCCACCCTAATGGCCAAGGTGCAGATTCCCAATTCTTGGGGTAAGTTTTGCATTTAAACCTCCAGGTACAGAGAGAAATTGGTGGATGGGCTGGAAGGTATTGAGAATGAGTCTGGGTATCCGGAAAGCTGAGTTCTCGACCTGGGGTTGCCAGCAGTTAGCTGAGACCTCCCCAAGTCAATATACCTTTTCCAAGTGTCTATTTTCTCATCTTCCAATTCCTCCTCTTACTCCCTCCTCACTTCCCCCTGCTCACCTCTTGCCCCTTTACAGACTGGGGAGGGGATGGGGAGCAGTGGAAGTTCTATGAGCTCCCTCCTCAAAGTGCTGGACTAGTTAGCTCCAGTTCCATGGAGCAACTTTTAAATACTATGCCTGGCCTTCCCATCCCTTAATGCTAGCCAGCCCATCATTTGTCCCCTCCTTCCTCACTGTTTTCCTTTCTTTCCTGTCCCTCTCTGTCTACATCAGAAACATCCTTTTTCTGAGTATCTAACCAATCCTTCCCATTCTGTTTCACTTTATTGACCTAAGATGCTATGTCCCTATGGCTATGTGTTATTTCTTTTTCTTTTTTTTTTAATTGAAGTAAAATTTATTCACAATGTTTTATTAGCTTCTGGCATACAGCAAAGTGATTCAGTTATTTCTTTTAAAAATAGTGAGTCTATGGATAGCCAGTCTTACTACAGAAATTTCATAAGATGTAGAAAAGCACATAGTGATGTTGGTGAAGATGATGGTCGTGGTGATGGTGGTGGTGATGGTGGTGATGATGGTGATGTTGATGGCTAAGGTTCATTGAACACTTGCTCTTTGCCAGGCAGTGCTGAAAGCACTTCATATGTATTCGTTTGTTCAACACCCTATGAACCCCATGAGATAGTTACTCTTATTATCTCCATTTTTCAGGTAAGGAAACTGAGGCATAACGAAGTTAAGTGACATAGAAGAGAAAGCTAAAAATTCCCCATAAGATCATGCTGAGAATAACTACGTATAACCAACATGGACTCCTTATTTCTGACTTAATGGAAGGCTACTTGCCTCATGCATGCATTTATTCTTTCAAAAACCATTTCGCCACAACTGCCCTAGGGCTAGTCATGCACTGACGGACTTTTTCTGATAACTGCTTTAGTCATCAAATGCAGAAGGAACTTCAGGCCAGGGGAAGGAGAAGGAGGCTGAAATCCACTGCCATCCTGTATCCTTATTCCCAAATCTAGCCATACCAGAGACAGAAATCCAAACAAAAACTCAAGGTCTTGCCAAGAGCCAGCTTTGGACGTGAGGGTATTAAAAAATAACAACCAAAAAGCAGCCGCTCCTTCTGCTTGGGAGCAGTTATTTCAATGACTGACATATGTCCTGGAGGAACAAGTGTCATCTTACTAATGGGCTCTCATTAGTGATGGCAGCAACTATAAAACACATACACACCATGCACGTTTAATGACATGGGAAAGTGCTCATGATGTATTAGAGGAGAAAAGAAAACCACAAAACAGAATGTGTGTGTGTGTGTGTGTGTGTGGAGGGGGGGTTGATGGCAAACATTGTTCCAAAGAAAAAAGCACCCATATGCATTGAAAAAGCACTGGAAATTTTTTGAGAAACAAACAACTTAGTAATCTTGCCTAAAGAGAGGTTATAGGGGATATTCCTTTTTTTTCTTTTAGTTCTCCAGATTTCCACAAAGGACATGTATTATGGATATGCTCAGAAAAAAGTCCATAATATTATTATTTTTTTAAGCTGTACAAAGTGATTAGTGGTTGAGAGGCAGCAGATTATATTCAGGTAAAATTCAAAGTTTCTAATTATCTTTTAAAAAGGAAGGAAACAAATATTTATTGGCTAGGCATTTTCTCTTACATTACCTTATGCAAAAGGGCTTTGTAAGGTCAGTATTCTATTGCTGTGGGGCAGTAAATATGATGCCAAGGTCCCTGGACTGTTAAGGGGTGGAATGTCCAATTCTGCCGACTCCCAGACTCAGACTCTTCTCCAGGCCAATGGTGTTCCACCAGTTTATTCTCTAACATGAGCGTAATACCGTACTTTCATCTGTAGCTCTTTGAAGCAATGATGGAGAGTAAGAAGGGGAAGGGAGGCAGGGGGTAAATCTCAGAAGCTGCTGAAGCTCCCAGATAATCCGATCTGCTCTGACTCTCCCCCCTGGCCACCCAGGGGGCGGTATTATGGGGGTGGCGAGGGGGCGCTGAGTCAGCAGCATGATTTCCAGGGTAGTGAGAAGCCCATGACGGCAGCAGAATACGTCTCCAGAGACATCCTTTGGCTTAACATTCCTTGTGCCTTTAGCTAAAATGCAAATGACTCTGAGCACAAAAATGCCTTAAGCCTTATCACTTCAGAATATAAGTAAGTTTGTCAACTGCTCTCCCAAGTGGACGAAGGGGATGGTTATGAACACCCTGAGGAAGACAGATACACAGAAGGCGAGGAGGGCATTGAAAAGCCACTGGAGTCTCCTTGCCCTTCTCTGTGGCCCTGCCTGCCAATGGCTGGCCTTGATTATAATATTTAGGTTTCTGTGTTTATATCCTGTCAAGGGAAAGCAGAATATCACATTCTATCAAGTCACTTGAAAAGAACCACTGATTTACAACTCCAAGGCACTAACAGAGTGTTTGATTTAAAGGAGTGTATCTATGTAACTGTAATAAACACACCACACTCCAGAAAGTCTACAGATAGCTTCTCTCTGAGTAAATGGCAAAGAAGTCCGAGGGCTTGTTTATATTCCTTCCTTTCCCTAAGGGTTATCAGGGCCTTTTTCATCACCTTGAAGGGAAAACAAATGATCAAAAGATGGATGACCCCTCGTCCCTTCCATATCTCCTTCTTGGTATGTCAGAAAGCTTTCCAGCAAGGCAGGGCCAGCTAATTATTTTCTTCTAATCAATCAGCTATTTTAATGATGTGTGACACTCCTGATCTATCAGTACCATTAAGATAGCGTCCGCTCTGTTGGTCTGCAGCTAGTTTGCAGACAGTTCACTAGCCAGCGTGGACCCTCCAAGAATCCAAACTCATGTCCATCTGGGTGTGGACTCTGGGGCGCCCAGAAGGACAAAAGTCAGCCCTGGGGTCAGTGTCTGGCGGGACTGATTTTAGGAATTAGTGAAATGCAAGGCTGCCCCCCAAAATCTACCACAGAACCTGAAACTTTCACTTGTTCCCTTGAGTTTTTTTTTTTCCCCTCTCTTCAGAAGTCACTGTCGAACTTTAAAAAAACATCTCTGAGGATAGCTAGGCATTACCGTCTATTTCCACGGTACCTCAGAAATCTTTGGCAAAACGGCTGCCTTTAGCAGAGAGCAAAAAAACACAAAAAGATCTGGAGGATAGTGTAAGTGTCCCAGCTCCATCGATGGAGGGGGAGGCGTGAGGGTCCTGGCGGGGAGGGGGATGTGGGGGACACCACACGTGGCGTCATAAATGGCAACAGAGACAGCGTGGAGAGAAGGTGGGAGATCCTGACACGGACCCGAGTTCAGAGACAAACTCCGTTTTGCTCGTTAGGTGGCCCCCGGCCTGCCCCGCAGAG